CTTTCGTTCGATCACATCAAATGTGGTCTGGAGAACTAAAGGGAAAACTCCAGGAGCAAGAGGCAGGAGGATCTGGTTGTTGGTTGTACAAGATGATTAAGGGGATTAGATTTGCTAAAAACGTCATGTGATATGGGTTTTGAATATGAGAGCAAAGTGCGCTAATGGGAGAGAAGCYTTAAACTGCACCGGCTGGAAAGACAAGTTGTGCCGAAGCTGCATCCCCACCTGCCTACAGGTAGCCCTGCTCAGCGCTGCATCTCCTCTAGGGCTGGCCTGGAGGGGTCTCTAACTCGTGAGTGTCCCAACCAGTTCATCACAGTGTTTGCTGGACACATACGAGCTCCCAAACGAGCTTGGCTGGCAAGTGGCACAACACTGGGAGGGGAGGATTTCCCACTCTGCAAAACCTGTGGGAATGCCAAGGGTATCCTGTGTCCCACAGGAATCACGCTGCATAAGCAGAGGACTAAGGGGCTGAGGCACGCGGACACGCCAGGCCTGGGGAAAGGTGTCGTCTCTGGGAAGTCCTTTAAGTTAGATACAGAGATGTCTGATATAGGCTCAAGGCCAAGGAGCTGCAGTGAAATTTTAGACGGTGCTATCTCAGGTGAGGCAGGTCTGCCTGTGGGATGGGCTGGTGTATCTGTCTTTTTTGCTGTGCCAAGTTCCTATGGAGGAGTTGAAGCAATGCTTTGCTTTGCAAAGGCAACGTGCAGCCTCCTCCTCCGGCACTGGGCAGAGCTGCAGCCTCTTGGTCCCGAGTCCTGCAGGAGCCCAGACAGAAGCTGCGGCCAAATCCGCAGGAATCTGCAGGAAACTGCCAAGGAGAGTGGTTCTGGAAGGGTTTTTATGCCTCCCTGGAAGCATGGCATGAGCTTTGGGCAAAAGTGTAAGGCCATAAAGAGCCTAGTACTTGTGRGATAAAAAAACCCTCAAATTGTTATATTTCTAGGACAGAAGAGTCTTAGCTGAGGATACAGTAGATAGGGACTGATAAGCAGGATACTGGCAAAAGCAGCTATTACTATTCTGTAACTTAGAGTCAGCTTTTGTTCTAAGCTTTTACAAAAGCTTTGTATGGTGGACGGTTTCTGCTCTCCCCTTGTCTTCCCGTCGTCACTGGAGGCATCTCCCAGGGCATGGAGGTGTGATGAAAGAGCAGCTCTGCTGCCCTTTGCATACACATATCTAATCTGGCTCCTCTGCAGCTCATCTGCTATCCCTCTGTCGTACAGACACAGTAAGTGACCCAAAGCATTAAAAACACCTAACCCCTTGTTATAAATGGCTATTTCAGGTTTGCATGACTTCAGGATTGTTTGTCTGTGCTACTCCAAAGGAAGCCTGGATATTAAGCAGCCCGTGTTTGCAGAAGCGGAGTAGGCTACAATAACAAAAGCTCATGTGATTGTAAGGAGTGCTTTAATACTGAAGTGCTTTAAAAGCCAGAGTATTCCAGATGCTTGTCAGGCTGAGGAAAATGCAACCGCACTGGTTAGGCAGAAAAGGTTAGTGGTCACAAACTCTACCTCACGAGTCTCCCTTTAAAGGTGATGTGATATGTGATCTTACACATGCGCAAATGTTTCTTGTCTGATTCTTAGGGGAGGATGGGCTTGTTTGGTACCATTAGGACWAATCTAATCGCCTAATACATTTAGGGCATATGTAAGGGACAGTTTTCATGCCATTTGCTAAGACAAGGCTCACGGAAGACTTACAGCAGCATAACTAGATGCTAACTAGAAAGCATTTCATTTGCTGATGCTGCTGTGGAAAACACTGCCTTTAAAACAGAAATACAGGTGGAACAGGATATAGTTGCTGCAGGTGCTTGAAAACCATCAAACTTCTTTTCTGAGGCAACTGGCAATGTCACACAACTGCCTGCTGGAAGGAGCAAGATGCAAAACTTGTTTCTTGTGTCTCTCATGTGACACCCCCAGAACAAATCCCGCTGTCTGGGGAGGCAAGCGCAGGAGGCTGCGCAGCCCAAGTCACGCCTGCAGGAATGTTCATCAGCCTGCTGACATTTAAGTCTTGCCATTTCTTTTGCTCCTCTTTCCTGCAGTTTCGGCTCTGCTTCTGATGGTTTGCAAGAGGATAAGTCCCACCAACGAGCCCATCACACGCTGCAGTTTGAAGAATGCGCCCAGCCCTGGTGTGCAGAGCAAACCGACAGCTTGGACCCGCGCTGCAGATTAAGTAAGAACATTGCCTAGGGCCGAGGTGCTAATGAGAACTACTCTTTGTTTTTCTACTTGGTTGCTCTTAATGAGAAAACCAGGTAATTGTCAGCGAGAATTTCAAGACCAAGATGTATATTGACATCCAGGGCTGGCTGCTCGGTGGAGAGCGGCTCCCTCCACCCCACCGCGTGGCCAGTGCTCCAGGGCCTCCTCGGCAGGGGTGTGAGGTGCCCAAAGGCAGCTGCTCCAAATGCTCAACTTGCTCACCCTCATCACAAACACCAACATATTTCCTTTCAAAGATGACAAAAAAATATGATCTTGACTGGTGTGTCTTTGAGGACATCTACCAGACAGGTCTGGATTTGTTTCTAGGCTCTTTTTTTTTGTTTTCTGCTGAGGCGAACTGTGAAAGAGGAAGAACAGGGCTTTCCCCACGTGGAAACTATTCCTGGCCAAGAAATCTGTGAGGAAATCCTCCAACATTCTGGTTACTGAAATGGTATTCAGCTCGTAAATATCCTCCTCATCCCTTGTTTCCACCCCTTAGTCACTTTGGTTGCTCTCTGAATTTCCTTCTGCTTGTTGAGCGGCTCTCGGGCAGCAGAGATTCAGCGCTGCTGAGTCAGACACTGAATGAGACTCCCCCGTCTCACACTACATTTTACTGACCAAACCCTCAGCAGGTTCATATAATTTACTGGCAATATCTTTCAACTGCAGTTTTCTCGGTCTCTTTGCACACTAGTAGCATTACACTTTGCCTTTAGCTCCTGGCTTGTACTAGGTCAAATACAATTAGATAGCTCCCTATAATGGCCCAGTATAACCCAGTACTCTTCKCCTCAGCTCTTGTCCAGGAAAATGCCAAGTTACAGTTTCTCTGTGGCCCCTGTATATAGGATGTAAACTATAAACAAACAGCATTCACTTGTCTACACTTTTAACTAATCTCTGTCCTAATCACAGTTAAACAAACAGCTTAAATATCTGTATTGACAGCCTTAGTAAAAGCCAGGCTCTGGAATCCCCTCAGATTATTTTTAGCTGTCTCAAATAACATCTTTGTTTGCTAAGGTATATTATTTCTCTGTATATTACTATACTCTATCACTATATGAATTGTGAGTTGTACAGCAAATCCATTCGCTAACTTACTGATTCATAAAGCAAACTATATGGGCTCCCACTGTGCTGCAGTAGGCTCACATTTCAAAAGTATTTTATTTGCCTTTTATCAACAACTGCATTATATGCTCGTTGTCTTTTTTGACCATTATCTCAACTCTTTGTTTTAATCTGATTCCCTCCTTTTCAGGAGTTATCAAACTTATTCAGCGCTGCTTTATTAATAGCCCTCTTGCATTCTTTTCCCTAGACGTGTTCATGAAAGCTCTAATTTCCCATATCCTTCCAGCTGTTAATTCCTTTTTCCTGATACCCTTCACTTAATTCTGAGGCTAAACRTAGTCATTTGCAGTCCATCTTCCTTCTTTTGCTGTAAGGCTACCGCATCCTTGGCTTGCAGCCGCATGTAGTAAAACTACACAGCATGTTACTAACCCAGTGCTTAACTTGTAATRCAAAATTGCAATGATTTTCAAGGCTCTTGTTTGTCCTTCTCTGCTCTCCTTCATATCCTGAGGTCTTTCATGGCTGCTAGCAGCAAGCGGTGGAAAAGGGCAGAGAAAATCCCCTTTGTTACCCATTAGGGCTGTTCCTCTGTTCGGCAGCGGAGGATTTTTCCTCATGCGCATGGCCAGGCTCCAGTGCTGTGGTCTGAGAACTAATCCACCATCTCTCAGAAACTCAACTTCAAATCGTTCTTCAAATCAGTTGTTTGTACCACAGCACAGGAATTTCAGTGACTCACAAATCCTGTTCTTTCAAAGAAAGGGAAGTACTTGAAAATATCACGTGGAGCCGGGCTACGGCTCGACTGTTCTGGTCCGTTTTGTACCCCGAGTTCTCGTGCTCATCGTGACGCGTTACAGCCCTGCCCTGGCTTCTTCAGCTCGTGTTTCCTGTTCTAAAAGGAGATGGAATAAAGGGCATCCCGTGCTCATCTATACGTATTTTTATATGTCAGAACATTCCTTTGTGACTTCCTGGAGGGCAGCCATCACACTGAGCCCAGTACCTCCTTCTGGAGAATTTCTGATGCTACTTACAGCAAATAAGTTGTAAGTAGCCATCGGGGCAAATTCGATACCTTAGTAGCATTAATTCAATAAACTTTTGATAGCATACACAGCCATCACATTTGAGAACTAGACAACAAAACAGTATTCATTAATATAAAGTGTAATAAAACTTCACATGTAGTGAAGTGCAAAGCTACTTAACTAACAGGTATCAAAACAGCAAATACTGAGTTTTGTGTTAGGTGAATGCCTCTCCCCTGAAACGGGGACATATGTATTGATTTTACATTACAGCCTCCAGCTGAGCAAACCAAAGCTGGACTGAATCAGCTGGGAAAGGGGATCCCAGGCCTGCAGAAGCCCRAAGCAGAGTGCAGACCACGCAGGTCATGCGTGACACAGTACGCACAGAACCACCCTGTAGGAGACAACGCAGCCCAAACCCCAAGTTTCACGCTGTATCCCTCTCTTTCGAGATCAGCAGGCTGTGAGAACATCACCAAAGCACTCCTATTTTTGACAGATGATTAAGTTTTTTTGCCCATGACTTCACAGCACAGAGAATAAAAGGGAACTTTTACTATAAAATTTATTTTCAATAGTGCATTTCTTGTATTTAAATGGTCTATTCCAAAACAAGAAATAGTTAGATACAAAGTTGAAACACTTATATCTCTGCATTTATTACCACAGAAAACTGAAAGGAAATTAAAATTTAACTCACAGGGAAGCATTTTAATTTATTACCTAGCCTCAAAATTGTTGTATTTAAGGCGTCACAGAACAACTGTAAAAAAATAATTTGCTAATTTCAGAATAAATATACAAATCCTAAACATTTAAAAGTTCTAGCGGTGGCGGCTTGAGAGGAATCTTGCCCATTGTGAACTTCTTTGCTTCAAATTGTTTCAGCTCTTCAGCCGACAGCTCCGTCTTGGGCGTAAATAACTTGTCCAAGGGCAGGCTGCTGGTGGCCGCAGCCGGCGCCGCTGCTGCTCCGGGGCCAGGAGCGCTCACAGTCTGTCCAAACACAGCGCCGCTCGGCCGCGACGGGGAAGCTGCTCCCGCCCCGCTAAACGCTCCGAAGGCCGTAAGCGGGGCGCTGCTGGAGGGGTTCGCAGCGGGGGGGTTGCCAAACCCCGAAAACCCCGCAGATCCAAACCCRCTGGAGGTTTCCGAAGTTTTGAATGAGAAAGAGGCTGCAGATGGAGCYGGCTGAGGCCCAAACCCAACAGAACCGGGGGCGCTGGGAGAGGACGTCCCCCCAAACGCAGGAGGATCACGGCTCCCAAAAGCAGGGCTGCTTCCAGATGATGCACTGACAAGACTGGAACTTGTTTTGAAGGAGAAACTGCTAGCACTGTTASTGCTGCTGTTCACAGGAAAGCCTACAAGTATAGAGTTTAGACAAACTTTTAGAAAGGGCACACCTGCAACAGTAAAACATGAAGAAAAAAAAAAGAGAAGAGAAAAAAAGACCTCAGCAACCACATCTAACTGTTGGTTCTCAATGCAAAAACTTACTTGACAACCCAAAGCTTGATGTTTGCTGCCCTCCAAATCCAAATGAAGGCAGTGATTGACTGACCGCATTCTTCAGATCAGATAGCTTAAAAAAAATGAATATATATTAATGAAAACTAATTCCAATGTATAATTGAAAACTAAGGTTCTGAAATAGGGAAGTGCCTTTCAAAAAATACTTGAAACAAAAGTATTTTCACTAGTACCTGAACACCTCTTAGAACTCTGTTTCTTATTTTTTCTATTTTAATCTGTATTTTATGATTCTGCTTATGCCATTAATTTGGTTTCTTCTTTTCTTTCAGCTTAGCACAACTCATCTTCTGTGGAAATCCCACTTTTTCCATCTTCAGCCATGAACATACCCATGATCAAATTACTTTGTGCAGACTCTGCTTAAATCAGTTTAGTCTGTCTCTGCTTATTTGATAGTGCCTTATAACTGTTCTTGAGTATTCTCTTTCTGAGATACCTAGACTCAGAAAACATGTGTGTGCTTTCCCAGGACCACGTACCCTTCACGTCTGCGATTTTTATCTAAATGCGCTGTTCCTCTCTCAGCTATATAACAACTGCTCTTTATGGCACTACAGAGAAGTTCCAGGTGATCCTATTTATCTGAGGACAATTCTGGCCTGATCTCCTGATTCTACCTCAGAGAAGTCACTGGATTCAAGATGTCCATCTTAACAGACATGCACATAACCAGGTCCCAACCTTAAGCTATTCTACTTCCATGTGGTTTGGACTGGGACTGAGCTTCTGCCTTGCTAACATGGATCCATCCTGACTCACTACCTTCCTTAGTYAACTAAGAGAGTTTTTTCTAGTACAATTTGCCTGCAAAATATGGATTTTTTTTTTTTTAAATTACAGACAAAGATTGGTAAGACCGAAAACTCCGACTTCCATGTTCATCTGACTCAGGTACTGCTGAGGCATTCAGATRGCTTAGTTTTCAAACCACAGGCATCAATCTATCAGGTAATTACTCCTTCCACCCGTTTGGATTTCAATAATGTTCCAGGTGTGTTTTAAGATTAGTATCAAGTGTTCTTCATGCTGGCAGCCATGCCCACTGTTCTTACGGCAATAGTGCCAGTAGAGACTGTGCCATCACAGCAGAGATTTTCATAAGCGTTTCAGAACACGTCCCGTTAAAATTGCCACTGCATCTAGGAATCAAACATTTTCAGGTCTCAGCTAGTTAGATGCAAAAAAAGGATGCCCTAAAAGTATGGTGTGTATTTGGTTGCTAAAAAGGAATATCCTGAGATCTTCAAAACAATACTGATAATTTATTTTTATAAAGTTAGTAGAAAGTTAGTAAAGTGTAGCTAAAGCTTTTGAAAGTGCCTGAAGTTCCTGTGGAACTTTACAAGACCTCCACMCGTGGAGCAAGGTAGCACATTACAACTATCATGTCTTAGAAATCATTTCATTAACTCTTCTAATAAAAGAAAATAACATTGACATTTGTAACAAAACATGGAGCAAGGGGAAACATTCTTCCAAGATTAAGGAAAAAATACATCAGAAACTTTTACCTTTCACTAACACTTACCAATGCTGCTCTCGTTGATGCATTTAAAGTTTTTAACTCAAGCAGTCTGTTTCTCCACTGTGTCACTAACTGCTGGACAGAATTTATCTAAAAAGGGAGATAGACAAGCATGCTCTTACGATTRGTAAAGACTTAAAAATTAGAGTCATCTAGCAAATAAATTAGAATAAGAGTTTTAGCATTAGAAAATAAATCATTGTTAAACTACAGAGACTTGATCTGTAGCTTTGATTAAAGTTGTAGCTAAGGATTTGTAATTTTTGTTATTAACCCAGGATTCTTTCAATTCTTTTACTGATGTTCTTAAAACAACATTATTACTTTACACAACAGAAAGTGTAAAAAACTAGTCCTGGAGCTTTCTAAATACAAGCTCTACCACAAGCTCTATCTGAATGTGGTGCTTGTAAAATAAATAAATAAATAAATAAATAAATAAGATCAAGGAAGGAAATTCAGGCTCTAAATATACAGGCAATAAACTCACCAGCCCTTGTTTTGTTTCTGGCCTGTGCAGTTATGCCATCACTCAAGCTGAACTCCTACAACTTTCTTTAGTTTCTCTCACATTTTCGGAACACTCACTTCTAATAATCAAGTACAATTTAAACTATCATCCCAAAATATTTAGCTTTAGAAAAATATAATTTTAATCAGTCCCTCGGATACAATTCAACAGACTATTGTGCAGAACATATTSAGCAATAAATAGCATCAGTGTCTTGATAACTGTGATTAAAGTTAGATGGGAGATTGGAAAGTAACTAAATACCTGATTTTTTTCAATAGTTTAAAACTAGAATTTTATATATTTACAATTATGGAAACCTTATTAATAAACCATGTTCCTTGGGTAAGATATGCTGTACTTATAGTTACCATCTCTACACCTAAACTTTAATGAATTTGCATTTAAGTGTTCATTGATGCCATAAGTCCTTTGTAATAGCCAAGGGCAGCATACCAGGCTTTCAGCTGTTAGCATAATATGCTTGCCAATGAATGTGACTGCTGAAAAAAAATCTTACATTAAAATATTTACCAAATTAAGGACATTTTGAATATTTGCTTCAAAAAAATGAAGCAATCATTAAAATTCTAACCCTCCCTCCAAAAAAAAAAAAAAGAAAAAATTCATTTTAGAATAGCAGGAAAGACACAGTCTGGCAATTCAACTTTGTTGCTGACTTGCTTCAGACTATTTTACTAGCAGTGTTTCTATGCTCTCCAACTTTATTTCCTTTCTCAAGAAAAAAAGTAAAAAAAGAAAGCAATTCTGGTGATTATAAACACATGAAATAACAGTAGTGACAGCAGCAATTCTTTCTGTAACACAGGACACCAAGGGGGAGAGGGAGGAGTACAATGTAGCTTGAAGTACTTCATACTGGCAAGTCATAGTAACACAGATGGATAGAAAACCTGGATTTACTTTCATCTTGTGAAATTCAYGACTGAAGAAATAACTAAAAATTACTTCAGATGGAATCATCAGCTAACCTATTACTAARCTTCAGGTTTGAAATTAGTCAGAATCCATAGCGCAAATTACTTGGCTGCTACAACTTGCTCCAAGCCAATACACCTAGCGAACTAGAGAAGGCTGCACCTTAGAAAGAGCAGAGGAAGCCTCCTAATGGGAGCAGGGTCCCTTCTAACGCTGCATGTGTGTGACAGAGCTGTCACCCTGTGCAGCAGGGTGACCTTGGTGAGCAGTGTGGTGTTCTTTGGCAGATGGAGTCTGAAGCTCAGACAAGCAGTTGGAACACACAACTGCTTTGACTTGGTCACTAGCCACAAAAAAAGATATTAACCAGCCTATAATGAAATGTTCATATGAAAGATTCAGCGTTTTTAAAATACTTACATAGTTCTGATTATTATTGTTTGCTCTGCTGTTATAATACTCCAGATGCAGCTCTTCTGGTGAGAAATCTGGAAAACCTGAAAAGAGAATCATAGAATGAATCATAGAATCATAGAATCATAGAAT